CTTTATGAAAGCTGTAGGTTCTGTCAGCTGAGGTCGCGCTGTTTTAATATGCATTGAGTTCTGTGGGGAAAATTTCTGGGTAGCCCACGTGAATTTAGTCTGGTTCAGTCTGCAGTACCGCGAGAATCCCCCGAGCACATGAGTTATTCAACTACTACCTATCCAGTTATTACAATAGATCCATGGATACAGCACACTCGCACAGGAAGGACGTTTTAGCTTAGCTTGCTATCGATGGCTAAATTAAGCTAAATGTAGCTAGCTCACTGTGTACAACAGACAATCAAACTTTTACACGAGTAAATACATTTCAGTGAGAGCTTTGGGCCAACGGGATACGTAACTAACCAGGGACTATTGAAGAAGTACATGGAGAAGATAGACTGAATCAATCAACACAGAGTGTTTGGGCCAGGGTCTTCGGTGTGTGCCAGGGCTTTGACTTTTGCACAAAAATCATATTCAAAGTTTGTTTGTTTATTAATTTAGATATTTGAATGTATTCGAATATTGTATTATATTTTTATTAAACGGCTCCTCAAAGCAGCTGTGGAACGCACCACTGATTTTAATGGCAATTCAAAACATTCTACCGATAACAGAACTCTCAAACCAATAATAACCACTGCCCTTTGGCAACACAGTCCCTGCTTGTACTTCAGATGTGTAAAATACTAACATTACTGAGTCTGCAAGACCAACGAGCTTTCAGTGCCTGTCACTAGTTCTGTCTGTACAGAGAAGCTAGCCGAGCTAGCCACGCTCAATAAACAGATACCAATCAAACAATCAACACCTTGAAATGTTATTCGGAGAATATATTATACATATACATCCTTAATGCATGTAGGTTTTCAGAATTATTTGTTTACGTTTTCATGACAAGATTTAGATTTGGTATATTAATGGGTAACTCACCGCTGATGTTCAGAATTCTTTGTTCAGTTTTCATGTAGTTCCAGAGTTTTTGAACTAGCTAGCTTAGCTGTTACCTGCCTAGCACGTCACGGTGAAACCTTTGGGAGCTAACTATTTTATTTGCAGTCATTAAATACATTTCGAACATTAAGGGATGTCTAATATTCGTTCAAATATATATACATTTTTAAATATTCGAATATCGAATTTCGAAGTCAAAGCCCTAGTGTGAAACAAGACGGATGCGCCGTCTTGTTTTGTGTCGTCTCATATCGGTAGTATACCATTTTTTGACTTGCTGAATTGTACTCAATGGTATTGTTGTGTGTGGTTTTACTGCAAATGGCAAATAAATTCTTGAAATCTTGGGTTTCTATATGTTTGTCTCTGAATCATATTTGGTCCTTTTTCACAAGCATTTCAATGTGGTTTTTAACTAATGAGCAATCTTGTTTCTTTTTTTTAAGGTCCTTATTTGTCCAACAGTGGGAAATTTCAGTTTTGATGAATACACATAAACATCAAGGCATGCAGCGAAGATTACGTCCACGCTCCTTATAGGCAAAAGGGTAAAGTGTCTTGCCCAAGGACACAACAACAGCAGAACAATGCTCGACCAACTGAGCCACTGTCGCCCCAATTCAATTATGGATCATAAATCTAATCTAATTGTTATTTTGTTCCGTGATACTTTGCAGTTTTATTTTTTTAAGTGGTTGAATAACTTCAGTTGTTCTTGTGTGGCAGGGATGACCCTCTGGGACCGTGAGAAGCTGAAGGAGGACATGACAGAGAGGCCGCAGCCCAACAGTGAGTTTGAGATCGTGGCGTCTGAATCCATCTCAGACAAGTCCTCGTCTCTGGGAGTGGACGCTGCTCTGAAGGCCAGTTTCTTAGGTGGACTTATCAAGGTTGACGGCTCGGCCAAATATCTGAAGGACACGCGGACATCCAAACAGCAGGCGCGAGTCACTCTGAAGTACAAAACTACCACACGCTTCAGAGAGCTGACCATGAACCAGCTGGGCAGAGGAAACATCAAGCATCCGTACGTCTTTGAGAAAGGTCTGGCCACACATGTGGTCACTGCCATTCTGTACGGAGCCCAGGCCTTCTTTGTGTTTGACCGAGAACTGTCAGACTCTGAAAACATCCAAGACATTCAAGGAAAGCTCCAGGTGGTGATCAAAAAGATCCCCTGCATCTCCATTGAGGGAGAAGGAGCTCTCAAAATGGAGGACAAGGACAGAGAAAAAGTCAACAAGTTTTCCTGCAAATTCCACGGAGACTTTAATCTGCCTCAGAGCCCAATGACGTTTGAAGACGCAGTGAAAGTTTACAAGGACCTGCCCAAACTTCTGGGTCCAGATGGAGAAAAGGCTGTGCCGGTGACTGTGTGGCTGCTACCGCTCACCGAACTTGACTCTACTGCGGCTCAGCTGGTGAGGCAGATCAGCGTGGGGCTGGTGTTTGAGGTAGAGAAGACCCTGGAGCATCTGGCCGACCTGGACATGAGGTGTCAGGATGTTTTAAAGAGCGCAGGGCTACAGCAGTTTCCTCAGATATTCACAAAGATCAGAACCTTCATGAGTTTGTGTTCACAGTTTAACCTGGGACTCCAGGGTGTTCTGGCTCAGAAACTCCCAGCAATCCGTGGAGGAGGAGAGGACGAAGCTGAACTCGCTGAGATTCTGAAGAAAAGAGCTGCTTCTCCATTCAGCTATGACTGTCTGAACCAGTGGGTCACCAGCAAAGTCAGAGAGATCCACCTCATCAAAACATTCACTAATATGATGAAGCACACAGAAGTCCTCTCCTCTCAGGAGGAGGTGGATGCCACGACCCACAACATAAAGTATGCAGTTTGCTTTGTTTTCACCTCACTGGAAACTGAAGAAGAATATCTCTCTGCTTTAGATCAGTACTTAAAGGGTGCCAGCTTGGATCAGAACAGCTCTCGACCCAAAGACCTGGAGAGGCAGCAGTGGTACAGCAACAAAGACGTGCGAGAGGCCGTCAGGACCAAGGTGAAGCTCTTTGCAGACTTTGCAGAAGCCAACAAAGACAACAAGGACGTGAAGTTTATGGCAGTGGCTTTTAAAGATGAAACTCAGAAAGGATCAACAATCTACACATATGAAGATGGATTTGAAGCCAGTGATGACTTTGTGCCTCCTTCAAAGCCTGAGGTTAAAGTGGATGTTGTGACACATAACAGTGTGACTCTTCGTGTTAGCGCCCCCACATGGGGAGCAGAGGCAGTGACAGGCTACAGGCTGGAGTACAGAGAGAAGGAAGAGTCCAGTGCAAACGGAGAGTGGCAGCAGCAGTCAGTGAGAAACACCGGCTTAACCACAGTCACTGAACTGAACCCAGAAACAGAGTACACATTCATACTAAGGGCCCTCACTGAGATGGGACAGGGGCCCATGAACGTACTCACCGACAAAACTTGTCCTGCACCAGAGGGCCCCAGACGCCTCGCAGATGAGGTGAGGAAAACGTGTAACGTCATAGAGACCAAAGGATCTCTGGAGATCCTGAAGGTTCCACTGCAGAAAGATGAAATGAACATTCCTGGCTGTGCACGGTTCAACTTTGGCTCTGAGGTTCAAGGAAAGAAAACCTGCACCATAATGGTGATGGGAGACACTGGAGCTGGTAAATCCACCCTCATCAACGGCATGATCAACTACATCCTGGGCGTGCAGTGGACGGACAAATACAGGTTCAAACTGGTGGTGGAAGAAGAAAAGTGTCAGAGTCACAGTCAGACATCAGAGGTGACCGTTTACAGAATCAACTTTGACGAAGGCTTTATGATCGACTACTCTCTGAACATCATCGATACTCCAGGCTTTGGAGACACTCGCGGCATCAAAAGAGACCATGAAACCACTGAGCAGATCCGGAACCTCTTCTCCGACAGCCATGGGGTGGATGTCCTTCACACAGTGTGCTTCGTCGCTCAGTCTGCTCTTGCTCGCCTCAGTGCCACACAGCGTTACGTGTTTGATTCTGTCCTCTCCATCTTTGGGAAGGACGTGGCTGAAAACCTCAGGGTTCTGGTGACTTTTGCAGATGGACAACTGCCTCCAGTTCTAGAGGCCATCACAGCTGCAGAAGTCCCATGCCCCAAAGATGATGACGGAAAACCTGCTCACTATAAATTCAACAATTCTGCACTTTTTGCTGAAAACCAAAGTTCTGTGGTTGGTTTTGATGAGATGTTCTGGAACATGGGGAAAGCAAGCATGAGAAGCTTCTTTAATGCACTTAATAAGACTGAACCTCAGAGTTTGACTCTGACTAAAGAGGTTCTGAGAGAAAGAAAACAACTTGAAGACACTGTGGAAGATCTACAGAGTAAAATAAATGAAGGGTTAGCACAGCAAGACGAGATTCTGCAAATCCAAGAACAAATCAAGAAGCATGAGGCTGAGATCGAGAGGAACAAAGATTTTGAGGTTACCATTAAAGTAATCAAGCCAGTTCAGGAGAGCATCGCAGGTACAGGAAACTTCATCACCAACTGCTCCAAATGTCACGAGACCTGTCATTACCCTTGTGGCATCGGTGGTGATTCAGCAAAAAGAGGTTGTGTTGCAATGAACATGTTTGGATACTGCACAAAGTGTCCTGGTAAATGCTTCTGGAGTGATCATTACAACCAGAAGTACAGATGGGAGTACAAAGAAGTCACTGAGACAACAACTGCAGAGGAGTTAAAGGAAAGATTTCTAAAAGGGACAAAGGGGAAAGAAACTACTGAGAGTATGTTCACATTGCTGAAGAAGAAATATCAACTGTTTAAGCAACATGTGAGTGGAATGGTTCAGGAAGCCACTACAGCCATAAACCGTTTGGGAGAGATCGCTCTGAGGCCAAACCCTCTGTCTGCTCCAGACTACATTGACATGATGATAGAGTCAGAGAAGAATCAGAAAAAGGTAGGGTGGAAGCAGAGAGTGAAGGGTCTGGAGGAGCAGAAGCAGAAGGCAGAAATCCTCAAAAAAGTCGGCTGCGGGAAAAGACTTCTGATTGAAACTAATGTAAGTGTGAGATTTGTTTGTTTCACATGAGGTAGAAAAGAGCACAACGGAATGTATAGGATATGTCTTATGGCGCGTTCAGACCGGACTTAACTTCAGCGTCAAACGCGTCAGGTTTGCATTGAAAGAGAATGGTGAAGCGCGTCAAAAGCTTCAAAAGTCGCGAGTAATACGGGCAACACAGCGAATCGCTCGTGTCTCTTTCCGCGTCCCTTGACGCCAAAGCTGAGCTTTTGGAGCTTTGACGCGGGCTTCAACCAATCAGGAGACAAGCAGCAGCTGCGGGTCTGTCTCTGTCATGGAGAGAAGTCATGTAACTACTGCTGCTGCTGTAGTTTTATTGTCATTAATGTTGTTAGTAATATTATTTGTATGAGTAGTAACGTTCTTAATAAGTGAGTAACAAAACCATTGTACACATGCTGTGTAGTAAACGTAATTTAATATAAGAACAAGCTGACGATGAGTCTGGCTCAGGGCGAGTGCGAGGCAGCTCCAGGCGGGCAGAGGATAGAGAGAGGCGGGGAGAGGGGAGAGCGAGGCAGCTCCAGGCGGGCAGGGGAGCGAGAGGTAGGGAGAGGCGAGAGCGAGGTGGGGAGGGGCGAGCTCCGGGGTTTGGGAACTCAAACTGGGCGAGTAACATGCGGAAGTACCGCTGAAAGCTACACTTCTTCGTGCACAGCCCCTGGAGTAAATGACGGAACTCTGCAAACACTGCAGCCTCAGTCTGTGGTGAACCCAGAACACGTTTTGTAGAAACCCCACGACAACGTTATTTGGCTTTATATAACAAATAAAAGCTCGCTGCTCTCTGGAAAATCCACCGTTGACTACAGGCAACAGAGAAGCTCCTCCCACCGGCATCAGGCGCGTCAAAAGCTTCAAGCACCAAAATGACAAAAATGACCCGCCGTCAGTTGATGCGCGTCAAAAGCTTTTTGAAGCTTTTGGTCTGAACGCACCATTAGTCTTAGGCTGTGTTCACACTGGTGTTAAAAATACAAACAGATCCTCAAATAAGACACCTGTTATAACCCGGCTCTAGGTTATAACCAAGGATTTACCAAACAAACAAATGTCAATTATAAAAGTTTATTATAAGAGAAAGCTGGAATAAACTAATGTCACAAAGACGTGGGCGCTCAGGTGTAGGTCTGGGAGTGAAGTGAGCCAGCAGCAGCCCGTGGCTGGAGGCGGGTCTTTTATGTGCGTCGGACCTACGCACGCACAGCCAATGCCACTCCTCAGCGACACCTGCAGAGAATAGCAAACATGTACATGGCCACCAAAGGCAGCCAAGACGGGGCCATGACACACCTGTACATCTGAAAACAGACACTTTTAAGTTTTGATAAACAGTTGTGGTTTAATTTCAACAATATTCCAATGTGCGTGTGTTGCATGTTTTTTTAATTATTGTGTTTTCCTTTTTCAGTCCGAACAACCCGCGACCCGGCAACTGATGAAGCGGAAGAAAACGGACGGACGGACGGAGTCCGAACAACAAGAACCAGAGGAACAACAGAAACAAGGGAAACCAGAGGAACAAGGGGAACCAGGGGAACAAGGGGAACCAGAGAAACAAGGGGAACCAGAGGAACAAGGGGAACCAGGGGAACAAGGGGAACCAGAGAAACAAGGGGAACCAGAGAAACAAGGGGAACCAGAGTAACAAGGGAAAGCAAAGGAAGGCTTCTCACCCATCATCTGTACTTCTTAGCAAGTTTTCCCGACGTTTCGTCCTTAAACTAGCAGACTTCTTCAGGGAATGAATTCTTGGACCGCGCGTTGGAGATTTATAACCTCTTATAAAGTATCAAAGGCCAGGTACTGGTCAGTGTGAGTGGACTTTCTGAAGACCTCAGTCTCTAATTGTCCGTTCTCCAGTATGATGACCTTACAATCTAGAAAGGCGAGTTCACTCTCCTTAGCATCCTCACGAGTGAAATTTATAAAAGGGTCCACCGAATTAATGTGTTCTGAAAACCAATGGCTTGGCGCTGTCCCTTGGTAAGAGCCCAGGGCTTGTTCCTCCAGTTTCTCCATATACAGATTGGCCACTATAGGAGAGACTGGGGAGCCCATCGCACAGCCATGAATCTGTCTAAAGAAGGTGCCTCTAAATTGGAAATACGTGGTGTTAAGACACATTTCAAGTATTTCACAGATGTGGTCAGCTGTTAGTTTCGTTCTCTCCCCTAGTGTGGCGTCTTTCTGTAGGCTTTCTCTTACAGCCTCCACCGCCTCTGTAATAGGGACCGACGTAAAAAGCGATCACATCAAACGAGACCATTGTCTCATCTGTGTCAAACTGGAGGTGTTTGATTTTATTTACAAATTCTTTTGTGTTTTCTATGTGATGGTGGGTGTTACCCACCAAAGGAGCCAGAATGGTTTTGAGGTGTTTAGCCAGGTTGTAGGTGAGTCTATGCTACATGCAATAGGCCGAAGTGGAAAGTAACAAGGGAAATGTAAAACCATCTAACTGCTCTGGAAAGTTAAAATTTTTATTTCAAATTTTTAAAAATTGTGTATTTGTTTAAAAAAAGAAAATATCTCAAGCATGTGGGTTTTTTTGAATGACAATATAGTACGATAGATCTTATATTAGAAGTGGACTGACTGAGTGATGTCGTCATCCGTTACTGTTTGCCAAATGCAAAAGAAACCAATTTGAGCATGTGCCAGCTGAAGCCGACCTTATATGGGCATTGTTTCCAACTGTGTGGGCTGGATTTACAAAGTCAATGTAAAAGTAAAAACACATAGATCATAGAGAGCTTCAAACCACAGATTCAAGCCCAAAATAGAGAGTGTCGCACAAATGGTTACAGAGCTAGAGCCAGTAGAGCTACCGTGAGCACTTCCCTATTGTCCATTTATAAACAGTCTATGCATAGTACTAAGTTACGTCAGTCAATCTGTCGTTTATTTCATCTATTTAAACTGAGTGTTTATTTTGTTTTCATGATGTGATTTTTGGAGGGTATAACAGTAAATCAGAGTTTTATATTTTTACAATGATCTATGAAAACACACCACACTCCTGTCTGTGGCTTAATAATGTTTAAAAATTAAACCGAGTGTCTGTGAGAAACTCGAGGACACGAGCAAAAGCTAAGAACAGAAACTTCTCTCAAACAAAGAGCGTCTAAAGTATATTTTCCTCTTTTCAACTGCCCAAGATCAAACAGACTGTTGTATCCTGATTATTGTTATTGTTTGTGGACGATGGACTTTTAATGGAACCAAAATATACTTCAGATTCAGATTCAGATTCATTTATTTGCCATTTGCAGTAAAACCACATTGGAAAAACTGTGCAAGACTACCCCGGTGTGCGCCAGACAGAGAAGGCGACACACACCAGAGCTCTTGCCACGGCGCCATCTTTCCGGCGCCATGCGACCAACAGTAGAATAAACAGCAGAGAGCAATAACATACAGGTTACAACAGACAGTTGGATGGAAAACATTGTGGCTTGTATAAACCACGGATTTTTTTCACGGGATGAGCACCTCTGGCTGCCGGTCCAATGTGGCTGTCAGAGGGGGGCGGGGTCAGGGAGGGGGTGAGTCGGAAACACATTGAGGAGTGGAGGGGAGGGAGAGATCAGAGGGAGGCGGGGGGAACGGGATCCAAGCTGGAACTGACTGAAAGAGTGTGAATTGTTGTAGAGACCAGATTTATTATTATGGCCTTGGCCCGAGGAATGTGAGATAAGAGTGGGGAGAAGACACAGCAAGGAGAAAACACATCTTCCTGTAACGAGGGACAATATAGTATGCATTTTAGCAGTCAAAAACAGGCAGATATTCTATTAAATACAATTAAACCGAATTACGGCGCCCTCAGACCCCGTACACAGGGGCAAATCCAAGCCGGGTCAGAGAGTTCAAGCGTGACACACAATGTCATTCAATCTCAATTCCAGAGTTTTATGCCCATCGAGTGAACGAGCTGCGAGGTCTTTGATCAACTGTTCCACTAACACCACTCTTCGTTGTCCAGCCACAGCGCTCTCAACCACGACTCGGTTAAGCTCCTTGTACATCCCATCAATTTTGTTGGCCAGCAGGTCGTGAATCTTGCAAACTGCCAACAACTTTGTGTTTGTTTTTAGATAAAGAATATGTGACCTGAATATTTCATTTCATTTCATTTTCAACCCCTTTGTCCATTTCTGGGTCGGGGGGGTGGCAATGAGAGCTGCCACCCAACGCTCATAGCACCAGTCCGTCGCTGATCTTCTGCAGGGGGTGAGTCCACAGGAAGATGGCTGCTCCGTCAATTGTGAAACAGCCTTGATCTTTCCGCGGGGGGCTTCAGGCAATGTGGGGTTAAGTGTCTTGCCCAAGGACACAACGACAGCAGTCATCAGTGGGAGCAGTTGGAGTAGGTCCCATGGTGGGAATCGAACTCACGACCTCCAGGCCCAAAGGCCAATGCTCTACCAACTGAGCTACTGACCTGAATATGTTTTATGAATAATAATTTGAAATGTGGTGAAAGGATTCTAAATGCAAATCATTTACAAATAAAGTTTATTAAAGACAAAATCAGAAAGTTTTATTCTGTGTTTGACTTTTGTTCAGGGTTTTCTTGAGATCATTGACTTTTCATGTTTTAGAAAGTGGAAATAAAGTTACACCAGAGTCAGAGATAAAATACGTTTATCTTATTTTACTTTCCAATGTAATCTACTGTTGACTGTTTAAACCTGTTATGTAAAATTAAAGGTACAAAAAGGACAACAAAATCTGCACTATAAACTAATTGCCATAGAAACACGTGAGCGTCAACTATTTCAAGTTTAAAGGTCCTATATCACGCTTTTCTTCATGTTTCACACTCAATCCTCTGCACATGTGTGATATTAATGTGTATGATACACCACACAACAATCAAAGCTTGTGAGATTAGAGCCATCTCTTGTATAGAGGTGACGTCACCTCGACTCAAACGAGCTGATCCAGAGTCTGCTCCTCTGCCTGTGAGCCCCCCGCCCGCACGCTGACGTAGCATCACG